AGGAGAAGGATTATTTGAGAGGAATGCTGTTTTTATTCTAGGATAGCAATGTCTTATCTCTGAATACATTTAGGGAAGAATTTTAATTTATAACTACAGATTGTAGTTCATATGTTCAATGGTGAATACACATTCAAATGGTGCTTTCTTCGCTGTAGAAAACAGGTCATTAATAAGCTCAAGTATTTGGATAAACTGCCAATAGAGGGAAAGCACATTAGAAGACACAATCAAAAAGAGTCAACCATGTTTAGAATTTTAAAAAGTCAAATATCCATTAGCAGTAGAATGAATACAATCCTATAATGCAATATTATACAGCAATGTAAAGAAATGACTGCAGTTGCATGTGTCAACAATTTTGGGGAAAAAAGTTCCAGAAGAACACATATAATGCTACTTACATCAAGTTCAGACACAGATATAACTAGACAATAAATTATTTAGAGAAAGGTGTATATATAGGTAAGGAAACTATAAAACAAAGCAAGAAATGGTTAATACGAGAGTCAGTCCTGGGATTTCTTCAGAGGGGACAGAGAAACGTGACGAGTCTGCAGCAAACTAAGGTAGTAATTTACATTTTAGCTTGGGTAGTGGTGGTGGTAGTTAAAGTCATTGGGTCAGTTCCGATTCATAGCGACCTTGTATAAGGTTTCTGGGAAGCAGCTGGTGAGTTTGAACCACCAGCTCTGGTTCAAAACAACCTTGCGGTGTAACAGCACACCAGGACTCCTTAGCTTGAATTGTTAAGTGCTATCAAATCGGTTTCGACTCATAGTGACCCTGTATAGGGTTTCCAAGGAGCAGCTGGAGAGTTTGAATTGCCAACCTTGCAGTTCAAACCGACCTTGAGGTTGAGTGTTTATCCTATGGCACCATATGAGAATGCAAAGAGTCTTGGTGGCACAATGGTTAAGTGCTTGGGAAAATACCTGGCAATCTGCTCCCATAAAGATTATAGCCTAAAAAGCCCTATGGGGCAGTTCTGTCCCATGGGGTTGCTCTGAGTGGACTAGATTCAACAGCATGCAGTGATAAGGATGTAACTAATTATTAGTCTTCTTTTGAACCCGTGCATATTGTGTGATACATTTCACAATTAAATGGGAAAAGTTTATTTGTTGTTGGTAAGTGCCATCGAGTTGGCTCTGATTCATAGCAACCCTGTGTATTTCCTAGGAGCAACTGGTGGGTTTGAACCACTGACCTTGCAGTTAGTAGTCCATTACTTAACATACAGTGCCACATATAGATGATAAATAAATGAAATTGTGAATAAGGGCATGAAAAGGACTTTAAAAATGAAAATGGTGTTTTTTAAAACTATTCTTTTATCACTGTAATTGTTATGCAATCGATATAATTAGGGAAAACAAAACTGAGCAATTCTCAGATTGTGAAATGCACATCTGCCCAATTTATGTCCTGTTTGTTTTTGCAGGACAGCATCAGAGTTAATGTAACTACCTTGACAGATGATGGACAGGTATCTAGAGAACAGGTGTGTCTCATTTTGATTGTTTTTTTAGTATACCATTTAGCAAAATATACAACCGATTTCATTTTGACCAACATATCTAATTCAGTTAGATCATGTGTTTATGACTTAAAGGGTGTGTTGTCACTTGTAAACCACTGGAATTAATGTGTATACTGCTTTATTTTAAGGTGGTTCTTAACATAACCTATGAGGCTGGACAGGTATATGTCAATGACTTCCCTGTAAATAATGGTGTAACCCGAATAAGCTGTCAGACTGTAATAGGTGAGTACCACTCAATCATTTCCACAGTTCTGTTTTTAGTAAATTGAAAATATCCATCATTAGATTATATAATAACTCTAAGGTATTTAAAGTTTTCTTACTTTACATTGATTATTCCTGGCATATTCTTTTTTTTTTTTTTCCTTTTTGTAAGACGGATAGACTTTCGTTTCTGGTAGGTAGATGCCAATATATGAATGAGCAGAGGTGTAGTAAATGGAATGACGGGACCCAAAATCTTGGAGGGCTATGATCGTAATTGCATATCATAGAAAAATGATCAGTATAATGTTTTTCTTTTTAACCTTTTTTATGTTGACATACATAGACTAAAGAGAAACAGATTTGTTACATTAGAATATACATTTAAATGGAATGAACACTGTGAGGAGTGTGTATAGTTACATAGTGTTCTTACTACTTTTCAGATAACGTTTATGGTAGTAAGTTTATCCCTAAGTACTTGTAGCCTATAC